TAACAAGATTGAATGAGGTATTGGGATACCGACGATCGAGTCTCATGCGAGTAACGTATAGATTGACAAAGGGAATCGTATACGGGATTGATTGAATCCTCGACATCGTGGTTCATCCGATGAGATCATGGAGGAGTATGTGGGAGCCAACATGGGTATCCAGATCCCGCTGTTGGTTATTGACCGAAGAGTCGTCTCAGTCATGTCTGCGTGTCTCCCGAACCCGTAGGGTCTACACACTTAAGGTTCGGTGACGCTAGGGTTGTTGAGATATTAGTATCCGGTAACCCGAAAGTTGTTCGGAGTCCCGGATGAGATCCCGGACGTCATGAGAAGTTCCAGAATAGTCCGAAGGTGAAGAATTGTATATAGGAAGTCCAGTTTCGGCCACCGGAAAAGTTTCGAGGGTCACCGGTATTGTACCGGGACCACCAGAAGGGTCCCGGGGGTCCACCGGGTGGGGCCACCTATCCCGGAGGGCCCCATGGGCTGAAGTGGGAGGGGAACCAGCCCCTGATGGGCTGGTGCGCCCCCCCTTGGGCCTCCCCCTGCGCCTAGGGTTGGAAACCCTAGGGGTGGGGGCGCCTCACTTGGCTTGGGGGGCAAGCCACCCCCTTGGCCGCCACCCCCCATCTAGATGGGATCTAGAGGGGCCGGCGCCCTCCCTGGACCCTATATAAAGAGGGGGGAGGGAGGGCTGCGCACCCAAGCCCCTGGCACCTCCCTCTTACCCCCCGTAACACCTCTCCCTCTCGTTAGAGCTTGGCGAAGCCCTGCCGAGATCCCGCTGCTTCCACCACCACGCCGTCGTGCTGCTGGATATCCATCAACCTCTCCTTCCCCCTTGTTGGATCAAGAAGGAGGAGACGTCTTCCCCAACCGTACGTGTGTTGAACACGGAGGTGCCGTCCGTTCGGCGCTCGGTCATCGGTGATTTGGATCACGACGAGTATGACTCCATCAACCCCGTTCTCTTGAACGCTTCCGCTCGCGATCTACAAGGGTATGTAGATGCACTCCTTTCCTCTCGTTGCTAGAAGACTCCATAGATTGATCTTGGTGATGCGTAGAAATTTTTTAAATTCTACTACGTTCCCCAACAGTTCCAGCGCCCCCTTCTCCTTCTTCTTCCTTGACCTCCTCCCTAGATGGGAGAAGGATTTCTCCTTTGGTCCTTGGTCTCCATGGCATGGGAGGGGCGAAAGCCCCTCTGAGCTTGGATCTGTCTCTTTGTCTCTCTCTGTTTCTGCGCTTTGGGATTCTGCCCTTTCACCATTTCTTATATATCCGGAGATCCGTAACTCCGATTGGATTGAAACCTTCGCCCAGATTTTTCTCCGAAAATTAGCTTTCTTGCGGCCAAAGAAGAGAAGCAACCGCCTTACGAGGGGCCCACGAGGATCAGGGGCGCGCCCCCTGCCTCGTGGCCCCCTCGGGCACCTTCTCGCGTTGATTCTTCTTCCCATATTTCACAAATATTCCCAAAATATTCTCCGTCCATTTTTATCCCGTTTGGACTCCGTTTGATATGGATTTTCCGCGAAACAAAAAACATGCAACAAACAGGGACTGACACTGGGCACTGAATCAATATGTTAGTCCTAAAAATAGTATAAAAAGTTGCCAAAAGTATATGAAAGTTGTAGAATATTGGCATGGAACAATAAAAAATTATAGATACGACGGAGACATATCATGGGGGCAACCGCTTCGTGAGTGAGGGGAGAGGAAGTGGCGGGTCGAGGCGTTCGCCCATTCGGCCTTTGGATCAAACGAATCTTGGTAATGACGTGGCCATTATCTGTGCATCAAGATTAAGAGCAACCCCAACGGGGCGACCCATTTCGTGTGCGGGCGTCCGTTTGGGTTGGCGCGGACAAAAAAGTCGGCCCAACGCGCCGACCCAAACGGACACGCGTCCGCTTTTCTTCCGCGGGCGACCCATTCCCAGTTCATTTTTTAGCCGGATTTGTGTCGGCGCGGACACAAGACGGACGCACGCGCTTGCCTTCTCCTTTCCCCAGGCCCGCTAGTCGGTGGCACATTGGCCTCTCCCCATACAGCAAACCCTCGCCCGCCCCCTTCGTCGCCGATGTCGCCGCCCATTTTTTCCGGTGACTCTGCCAGCTGCCAGCGCCGCAACATCAGCTCAGCAACACCGCCACCTCCCACGTCACCCGCCACTGCCGTCTTGTCGCCGGGGAATCGACAGTTTCCCACCCCCCCCCGACACAGAAGCCGCCTCGCCGCCCCGGCCAGATCCTCACCGGCACGCTCGTTGGACGCCGACAGGGCAACTAGCTGGTCCGTGCGCGTCGTGACTCCCTTCGCTGGCCATCTCCTTTGTCGACGCCCGCAAGCTCTTCGACAGTTTACGAAGGTACAAAATGGACTCCACCAACGAGTTCTTTTTTCACAATTTCCTTTGCGACTCCGACTATTCGTCGTCCGATGACGAGGAGGAGATATTGGATGCCGTGTTGGTCCATCACCACCTCATTAGCCAGCGGTGGTTGTTCCATGGCTCTATTCTGGGCCACCTTTCGGCGTTAAATCACAACCGAGAGAGCGGGTGTCTCCTTCTTTGGAAGGACTACTTTGATACAACAAATCCGTTGTTCAAACATCAGAAATTCCGCTGTTGTTTCCGTATGAGTAGGCATCTTTTAAACCGTATTAGAGAGGGGTGATCGGCTCTGATGACTATTTTGAGTGCAAGAAGGATGCCGTTAGAAAGATTGGTTTATGCTCTTATCACAAATGCACTGCTGCCATACGTATGCTTTGCATACGGAGTGCCCGGTGATCTCATTGATGAGCATGTCCGTATGAGCGAGTCTACATGCCTAAACTCCCTGTATAAGTTCTACAAGGCTATTATTGCTATGTTTGGCCCTGAGTACTTGAGAGAGTCGACTCTTGAAGATACAACCCATTTGTTGGCGATGAATGCCAACGGGGGCTTCCCAGGGATGCTTAGCAGCATAGACTGCATGCACTGAGAGTGGAAGAACTGTCCTTCTCCTTGGCAAGGGCAGTATAAGGGTCATGTCAGGGCTTGCACTGTCATACTAGAGGCCATGGTGTCTCAAGATCTCTAGATCTGGCACTCTTTTTTTTTGGCATGGCTGGATCACAATGATATCAACGTGCTTCAGCCCTCGCCGGTGTTTGCTAGGCTTGCCGAAGGCAACAACCCGCCGGTGAACTTTACTATCAAAGGCCACAACTACGATGAAAGATACTACCTGGGTGACGGTATCTATCCTTAGTGGACCACTATTGTGAATACAATCCCCAACCCTGTCGGAGATAAGAAGAAAAGATTTGCTCAAAAGCAAGAGAGTGCTAGGAAGGACGTCGAGCGTGCCTTTGGTGTTTTGCAATCTCGATGGGGCATTGTTCGGTATCCTGCTAATACCTGGAGCACGCAGAAACTATGGGAGGTGATGACTGCTTGTGTGATCATGCATAATATGATCATAGAAGATGAGCGTCTGGAACGTCTGTACGATCAAGGGTTCCAGTTTCAGTGTGAGAATGTTGTGTCTGAGCATGGATGAGCGGCAACGTTTGAACAGTTCATCCAATTTCATCATGACATGCGTGATTAGGAAACTGACGTGCAACTGCAAATTGATTTGGTTGAGTATATGTGGGCTCATGTTGGCAACAAATAGATGTATATTCTTTATTGGGCTTGCAAAACTATACGAGGCATTTTTACTTTTATTTGGTTTGTAAAACTATACTATTTTATTCGGTCAAAACTACGTTAGACTATATGTTTGAATGTAAAAGTTGTGCGTGAAACAATGCAAAAATAAACTATTTGTTAAAATAAGGCGGACAGCCGGCCACGCCCGCTCATATGGATGGTCACGTTGGATGCACTGTCGACCCAAATCTAAAACGGGGCGGATACCGGCAGGCGGCTGACTCAAATAAATAAAAAGCGGACAAAAACGCCGCCGTTTAAGTTAGCCCGTTAAAGCTGCTCTAAGTATGCCGGATCGAACGACGACGGATGCGTTGGCTCCAAACGGCGAAGTCGAGATCAAAACCCACGGCGAGGGTCTGTACGCACTTGCGGACATGTGCACTGCCACGTAAATAACCGATTGTTTTCTCCACGGCGAGTACTCCTACTAGTAGTAGCACGATTTGGCTAGGATGGGCGACGTGGGCTGCATGCTTTGCTAGGCCGCCCCGCGCCCCGATAATTCTCCATCATTGCCTCCGCTGCAGCGTGCTCTTAATGGCGATTAGACGTGGCGGGGGTGCGAGAACGTGCCCCCGCGCGCGCCGACCCGAAAGATCTCCTCGTTCCGCGAGCGCGCGAGGGGGAGAAGAGAATGCGGGGAGACCCCTGACCGATCGCGCCGCTCCGGGTCCCTGACACGCGGGCTCCACATGTCATCGCCGTTTCTCTTTCCCCGATACATCTCCGAGCCCGTCTTTCTATATAGCTTCGTCGTCCAGGCCGCTTGAGCTTCGTACCTTCTCTTCTGCCAACTCCTTGGGTAGGGTTTGGTCCTAGCTTGTCCATGTCTTCACGAGGTAGAGGCGGCCACGGCCGCGGCGGCGAGTCGTCCGGAGCGAAGGAGGGTGGCCGCGGGCGGGGTGGTGGTGGCGGCCGAGGGAGGGGCCGAGGGGAGGAGGCCGGGGGCGAGCGCGGCCGCGGAGGACACGGCCACGCGCCGCGCGGTCGCTCCGGAGAGCAGGAGCCACATGGCGGACGCGGCGGGGACGGCCGAGGGAGGGGCCGAGGCGGCGAGCGCGGTGGCCATCGCGACGACGCGGCGAGAGGCCGAGGTGGTCGAGGCGGCGGCGGCTACCCCTCGTCGCCCTCGCAGCCTGCAGCTGGCGGGCGGGGTGGCGTCGCCGCGGTGGGTGAGCACGACCCGCGTTACGGTGGCACTGGACCAGGCCGAGCCGGCCAGCAAGTGGCGGCCCCGACCCCGACGGTGGAGGTGCTGGGTGCCGAGGTGGAGCGGAAGATGGTGCTCTCTAAGGCCGCAGGCGAGCGGCCGTCGTCGTCTTCCTCGGCTCCGGTGGCAGCAGAGGAGCAGCGGAGGGTCGCCATGGAGCCTCGGGTGCCGGCGGCGCCGGCCAGTCTGCCGCCGGTGTCGAGCAAGGCGGAGAAGTTCCCGGCGCGGCCGGGGTTCGGGACCATCGGGAGGAGGTGCCGCGTCCGCGCCAACCATTTCCTCGTGCAGGTCGCCGACAAGGAGATCTACCATTACGATGTACGTATGCTTGAACCTGTTCGGTGATATATTCGTAAATGTTCATTTATATTTCTTTACGGAGGGAGTATTTCTGAATATTTTGGCGCGCGTATCTTTGTGCATTTGTTTTTGACATGCATGGGTTGACCTTGTGAATTGAATTCGTTGTATTGTAAGCTGTATGTATTTTGAACCATCAAGTGGATTTGGATCAAAATAGAACCAATCACATGTCTTAGCTAATCCAAACGTTATTAAAGAAACAAGCAGATACCAAAATCAGCCAACTTACAAGTTTCATGCAAATTTAAGGTTTCACCTTCAAAAGTGGGTGAATAATTTCTCCAAGCACATGATCATGTTTAAGGTTTCACCTTCAAAAGTGGGTGAATAATTTCTCCAAGCACATGATCATGTTTAATTTTCACCTTCAAAAGTGGGTGAATAATTTCTGCAAGCACATGATCATGGTTAATTTTCACCTTCAAAAGTGGGTGAATAATTTGATTTCTGCAAGCACATGGTCATGGTTAATTTTCTGTATAACAACCGTCTTCCTGTTGCGCAGGTGACAATTGACCCGGAAACGAGGTCTCGTGGATGGAACAGATCAATAATCAACGAACTAGTTAAATTGTACAAGGAACACTTGGACGGTAGGCTGCCTGTTTATGATGGAAGAAAGAGCCTATATACCGCTGGTGCACTGCCATTCAAGAACAAAGTATTTGTCGTGAAACTTGCCAATGCCGCGAAAGGGAATAAACGGTAGGACAAAAACATTTCAGTCTTCCTTTTTGTCATCAAAACCTGCTTGTTCATGTAATGGTTTTTACATTGTACTCGTTCTTGTATTTTAGCGAGGAGGAATACAAGGTAACTGTCAAGCTTGCTTCAAATCTGGATATGTACAGCCTTTGGCAGTTTTTGGCTGGTAGAAGCAGGGACGTGCCACAAGACACTATCCAAGCTCTCGACATCGCCTTAAGGGAGTGTCCCACAACAAAGTAATTTCTTATATTTGATACTTCGGAGTAGTAAAGGAAGTATCGCATTGATACTTCTTTGATGTGGAGTAGAAATTTTTCATTGTTTGAGTTCCCCTATTTTCATTCCTTATATTTGTAATTCAAAATTTTGTTTGCATCTTCTTTAAATTGGAACAGGTATGTATCGATCTCTAGATCATTCTTCTCTCAGTCATTTGGACATGGTGGCGCGATTGGCAATGGTGTTGAATGCTGGAGGGGTTATTACCAAAGCCTTCGCCCCACACAGATGGGTTTGTCACTAAATATCGGTACGTCTGTACCTAAAACTGTTCTAGTGTTGTGAAAGTGTTTCTTAATTTTGTAGTCCCTTAGAAAAATCCTGTCATTAATATTTGTCATTTGATTGTTTCTTCTCAGATATTTCTGCAACGGCATTTTACAAGGCCCAAGCAGTGATGGAATTTGCTGTTGAATATCTGAATATCCGAGATGCTTCAAGGCCCTTGATTGATCAGGATCGTATTAAGGTATGAATGATGATAGTTCTCCTTAACTATTATTTTTCCTTCTGTCTACCAAACTAACTGTTGCATTCCTTTTTCTTTTCTGCTTTATAGTTGAAGAAAGCCCTTAGAGGTGTCCGGGTTGAGGCCACTCATCGGACTGATAAAACCATACGCTACAAGATCACTAGCGTTTCCTCAGCTCCGTTGAAGGAATTAATGTACCTATTCACTTTTATACCATGTTTCCTTCATGCACTTACTTTAAATTTTCATTTAGTCACACTACACTGTTAAATTAATTGTGATTATTGATAGTGACCGGGGGTAGAAACAAACTCAGTTACAACTTACCTATGATCATTTGCTACTGCAGGTTTGATCAAGACGGTGTGCGCGTATCAGTTGTCCAGTACTTTAAGAAGCAATATAATTACTCTCTGAAATATATCAATTGGCCATGCCTTCAAGCTGGTAGTGACAGCAGACCGATATATTTGCCTATGGAGGTGCTTATCATCTTCTTTTGTGGCTTGCTAAGTTTGTCTTTTGTATTTGTAGTTAAATCAATAGCGTGTGCCTGTGATTTCTTCAGGTTTGCAGCATAGTTGGGGGACAAAGATATTCACGCAAGTTGAATGAACGCCAAGTTTCAAGCATACTAAAGATGGCATGTGAAAGACCAGCTCAACGGGAGAGCAGTGTTCTAGAGGTGAATAATAGCCCTTAATTCTCACTTACTCCGCATTTGGTATTTGCAGCATAGCATAAATGTACGTCTTGCATTGCTCTCATATCAACATATTTATATGCGTTTGATATGAGGAGGATATATGATCTGATCCCTTCTTTTTATCTTGTCAGATTGTTAACAGGAATAGTTATGGCAATGATGACTATTCGAAAGAATTTGGCATGAAAGTCATGAACCAACTTGCATTGGTCGATGCTCGTGTACTACCTTCCCCAAGGGTAACTGCTTTTGAAAAAAATGACTGCATTACTGTCCTTACATTATTTTATATTCATTTGAACTCTTTAATATTTCTCTTGTTAGCTTAAATATCATGACTGTGGACGGGAAAAGGTATGTAATCCTTCAGTGGGACAATGGAACATGATAAACAAGGTATTATACATTTATACCCTAGACCATATTCCTTTTTAGTGACATAATTTCATTTCGGCAACATTGTTACGCTCAGTGTTTATGTTTAGTATTATCAATATCACTTTGCTCTTGCATGTTTTTTGCTTAACATGTAAATGGAGAACATTTGTGTCAGTCTCTAAACTACTTGGTATGTTGTGAGAAGGGAAATATATTAATATCAAGAAGAACTACTTGGTATGTTAGTTGTGATTGTATGTATTTTTTCCATTGATATATGATATAGTGCATTGAAATGACTATATACTCCATCCGGTCCTTTTTACTCTGCATATTAGAATTCTCGGAAGTCAAACTTCACAAAGTTTGACCGTATTTATATAAAAAAATATCAACATCTGCCATGCTAAAGTTATATAATATGAAACTTTAAGTCATGACACATCTAGTGGTATTGATTTCAGATTATGAATGTTGACACTTTTTTCTACAAAGCTGGTCAAACTTTACAAGGCTTGACTTTAGTCAAATCTTATATGCGAACTAAAAAGGACCGGAGGGAGTACTTTTTTACCTGGCTGTTTGCAGCGATGTTCCTATATCTTCTGTCTATTTCATTTGCTTTCTGCATCAGTCGTAGTAATACTAATTTCGTTGTTTTTCCCAGAGAATGGTGAATGGAGGATCTATCAACCATTGGGCATGTCTAACTTTCGCGTCTCGACTTCACCCAAATGACATTGGCATGTTTTGCCGTGATCTGGCTCACATGTGCAATAGCATTGGCATGGTAACCTTTTCTTCTTCAGGAATGGACTTCTGTCGGTAGCATCATATGTACTGACTGAATAAATTTTCCTGTTCTAGGAAATGAACATGGAGCCGTGCGTGAATATCACACAAGCACGCCGTCAGGACACCGTGGAGTCTGCAATCAGAAATATCCATGGCCATTCTGCCCAAGTGCTCGCTGAGAAAGGTCTAAAAGGGAAGCAACTTGAATTATTGATCATCATATTACCTGATATTAGTGGTTCCTATGGTATGCTCTTTAAGTTGATTCTCTGAGCTGATACCTGACTATTTTACATAAAAATCAGTTTTAATTCCAAATTTCTGCCATTTAATGCAGGAAAGATAAAACGGCTTTGTGAAACGGAGCTTGGTGTAATAACTCAGTGCTGCTTGCCTAAAAATGTTCAGAAGGGTGGGAAACAATACCTTGAAAATCTTTCTCTGAAGATCAATGTTAAGGTATGAATCAATTTCTAGCTGTGCAACAATCAGGCCTGCAGAATGCTGAGACCGTTGCTGTTTTGTGATTAGGTTGGGGGTCGGAATACAGTACTTGAAGATGCTTTGTACAAGAGGATACCCCTTCTGACTGATGTGCCTACCATAGTTTTTGGAGCTGATGTTACCCACCCAGCTGCTGGAGAAGATGCATCTCCATCTATTGCAGCAGTATGTTATTCTGATCTCTCACTCGTCATGCCACAGTTTGTTAATTTGCAGTCTGTTTATTTGACAAGAGTTGGTCAAAATCAGATGCACTAATGAATAGTGCTCAACTTAGGTTTCTATTTGTTTTTCTCTTGCTTTTTATCAGTACTATTATTTGCAATAGCTTCGCATTTTGGGTGGGCAATGTCTGAACAAAAGTAGCAATGTTCATTGTAAAAGGCAACTAAGCTTACTTTGCTTCAAAGGAGAAACACATTACATATCTATTTTCCAATTCACTTCAGTGCCGATCCTCATTTGCTGTTTGCCGTCTTGGCACCAATAGTATGAATGCATAATGGAATTTGGACTTCTGGAATTAAGGCTTCTAGTTCATGACATCGCAGGTTGTTGCGTCCATGGATTGGCCAGAAGTAACAAAATACAAATGCTTGGTATCTTCACAAGGCCATAGGGAAGAAATTATTGCCGACCTTTACACCGAAACAAAAGATCCACAGAAGGGACTTGTTGGCGGTGGGATGATAAGGTAGTGCAAGATACCGAAGTATTTGCCTAGTTTTCCTTTTTGCCATAGTAACTTTTCAATTTTAAATTTTTTTCAGGGAGTTGCTTCTCTCTTTCTACAGAGCAACTGGATGTAAACCTCACAGGATTATATTTTATAGGTTTGTAAAGCAGTCTTTGTTTTTCAAGGATCATTTCTTAGTCTCTGCTTAATACTGAATCATTTAATATGCAGAGATGGTGTTAGCGATGGTCAGTTCAGCCAAGTGTTGCTTTATGAAATGGATGCAATTCGCAAGGTTCTTCTCACCCCCTTTGACCCTCTCCATATAACGCCACATTGGTCCTTTATTTTCTGTTTCAACATTCTCCGGGCCTGATTCCCTAGCAGCTAGTGATTAATTCATACCGTAACATTGTAATTTCTAATTTGTTTGCTACACCATGTTCTTCTTGCTCCCAGGCTTGTGCTACTTTACAGGCGGGGTACCTCCCACCAGTCACATTTGTTGTCGTGCAAAAGCGGCATCACACTCGTCTATTTCCTGAAAATCATCGTGCGCGGGATCTGACGGATAGAAGTGGGAATATCCTACCTGGTGAGTTTACTTGCTTAGTTAGCATAATATCGGTACAACTAGGTAGATTTGGGGTACCAAGGTGTGTTGAGTTACAAGATTAAAGTATCAAGTGTGCTTTGCCCTCAGGTACCGTCGTCGACACAAAGATCTGTCATCCTACTGAGTTTGATTTCTACCTCTGTAGCCATGCTGGCATTCAGGTGATGTTACATGATCCACATTTCTGTAGTCCTGTACTTCTAATGAATTCGGCAAGTCTTTCATGATGACATGGTACTCGAGTCGACACTGACGCTTCTTTGTTTTCCTTTGGACAGGGAACAAGCCGCCCAACACATTATCATGTTCTTCTCGATGAAAACCGTTTCAGTGCTGATGCCCTTCAAACCTTGACCTACAACCTCTGCTACACGTAAGCTGCTCTAGCCATTTCCCCCCGATGATGAATGATGCATAACCTGTTATCTGTCTATCTAACCCTTTTCTTCTGATGATTTCTCGCTCGCAGCTATGCCTGGTGCACGCGATCGGTTTCCATAGGTACGCATTTGATCTAGTCTTCAAATCTCTATATCAGCTTGCAAGGGAGAGATGCTCATGATCTTAGCCATCGGCAATGTCTTTTGACTTTCTGCTGATTCTGCTTTCTTGCTGCTGTGACAGTTCCTCCGGCCTACTACGCGCACCTGGCGGCCTTCCGTGCGCGCTACTACATGGAGGACGAGTTCTCCGACGGGGGCTCGTCGTCGGCCACGGCCCGGTCGGCGCCTGCGAGGCAGCTCCCCAAGATCAGGGACAGTGTCAAGGAGTTCATGTTCTACTGCTGATGGCTGATCCGTTGCTTGCGAGGACTACGCACGTCTCCACGCCTTTTGCCTAGGACTTGATGGCTGTGTTGCAGGTGGCTTGGTCGCACTAGAGCAGTCTCATGAAACTCGTCATGGTTTTGTAGGACGTACGTGTTGCCTTCAAGAACTTTAGCCTTAGGTTAGCGTACGTCCTCTGCAAACATACTGGGGTTACATGCATGTGACGAACGTAGGCCCTTGTATTTTGTGAAGAACACTCGATGGTACTGCATCAGTTGTGGACGTGTCTGCTGTCAGTTGGAAAGATTTTCAGCTAGTTGGCTGTCTTGATGACGAGACTGACATCCTTGGTAGTGGTTTGGTCACGCACCCACCGACGGCCTCGTCGTCACGGCAGCGTGCTATACATTCCGGCCGGAGTCGGAAGTCAGAGCCAGCAATGGACTAGTGTGTGGCTGGCCGGGAAGAGGATACGCGTCATCCCAATTATCGCCATCAGTCGTCGCCTTGCGTCCGTGTGAAACGCAGACGCCGGAAGGGAAGACGACGGTGCGCTCTTGCGGGCAAGGCGGGGAACCCTAGCTAGCTGGATAGCGAGCTCCATCGTCCTCGTCCCCACTATGACTAGTATTTGCAGTGATTTCGCTGGCGCGTAGCAGTTGGCTGACTGCTTGTTCGAAGATCCCTGAGGACTGATAAGTCGATCGTCGGGGAAAGTGACTGCCGGCGCGTCGCATTATTACTTAAAAGGTTTAAGCATTACATCCGGCCTCTCCACAACTAAGATGCACACAGCCAAATGAAGTCCTCCTCGCACAAAAGAAAAATAAAAAAGGTGAAACACTAAGAAATATGTAGAGTCCGTATAACGCCTAAAGCGGTGGTGGATCAATTCTAAGATCATGCTGCTATCCATATTGGGTAAAAGTATCCTTCAGTGATGTATACACCTCCGTAAACAGGTCTCGATTCTCCACGTGTTGTAGAGAGGATCATAAACAAAGAGTCACGGTACATCTGTAGATAACCTGCATCAGAGAAGTACTTTTATCATTAAAAACCTTATCATTTTTACATAGCCAAAGCGATTAAATAATGGCAAACGCTCCAACCCTAAGTCCCATGTACAAGAAGGATATAAGCCAGAAACTATCTGGATGACTGACCATATAGAACGAGCTAATTTGCATTGAAAGAACAAATGTTTTATTATCTTATCATGATGACAAAAGACACATTGCGGACTTCCGTGCCAATTTCTTTTAATAAGGTTATCTTTAGTAAGAATGACTCCGCGACGAAGATACCATGCAAAGAATTTATTCTTCAGAGGTATCTTCATCTTCCAGATCTTCTTATTATTATCAACTGTCACATCAGACTGGATTAACGCTCTATACGTTGACTCCATTGAAAATTGTCCATTCTCATGAAGGTTCCATCGAAAAACATCAGACCCATGTGACAATTACACCATGAACAACCGCTCGAGCAGGATGTTCCACGATTGAAGTCTGGGTCCAATTAATCTCTTTTAAACGTCACATTTGGTGAAAATGATTTACCATGCTGCGTTTTAGTTCGTTTTCATCCAGTTTCAAATGCAGCCTACTTTTCCATGCCGTGTGCTGACCAGTCGACACCGTTGACTACATTATTCCACATATTCAAGACTGCAATGCATGGGTGGTCATGAACATTCCTCACTATTTTTCATAAAAAAAATTAACACAGTACAGATACCACCACTATAAACGCATACACGCACATCGTATCTCTATGAGCACCTTCGAGAGACTGAGCCGACATATCATCTTGAGATTTATGAAGTCACCGTAGGCGCCTCGCCGTTGACAGGAACGTCTCCTCTCACTAAAAGCGCTTCGCCGAAAATTCTAAAATGAATTCAGAAATAATGCGAGCACCAGGACTTCAATATTCCTGTCGTAGTAGTTGGCAACTACTAGTAGCACAAAATCTCAGCAACACCCATTTCATCTGCGCCCAAGGAGGGAGAGAAGTGGTGTTCTAGAAAGGTTTACTAATTGTGGCGATGCCAAGAAAATGACGCTCCGGGGATTGATGACTAATCTACCGTATTAATCCTTGTCGGACGATCACTCAATCCATTTCAAGTTTGTACGTGATCCTGCTCTAGTTATGAAAAACTCACAATCGTCAATGGTCTTGATGCTCTGGCTGTGTGCAGATCGATGCCCTCTCTTATCCAACAAGAGGGGACGAGAGAGATGGCGGCCTACGTCTTTGAATAGTGACTTGTCAAGGTCTATCAGATGACAGTTTGGCAACTAGTTCCATTGTCATATACTGTATTTAGAAAAGTATGCTACTAATGGTCAGACGCTTTAGGTTCATAATTTTGGATAGTGACATTTTGGTGCAAATTTCCCACAAAGCAACAAGAAGAGTGCGACGAGACGCTGGTGCGCTTATCCCTACCAAGCTGCTCTCGGCCGGAGTATATTCAGTAACTCAAGAATCAAGAGATATATAGGTCCTTCAAAGGATTACGGAACATGAAATGTAAAAGCTCGTATTGCCAGAAATGGGTAGCTCTCACTACTCCTCTGGAACTTCTAACAAGTGTCATGATGGACTAATCAGCAATATTGATCACACGGATCTTGGAGGTTTGCGCGTTAATATGAGAGCATGCACGTGATTAGAAAAAAAATAGACATGCACTGGTAAGATGTAACTGATCAGATTGCAACAAGATTTGGTCGGTGACGTTATAAGACTTTTCTATTATCTTCGTCCTACGTCATGTCATGTACATACCTGCAAAAATACTGGATAATTTGTTCTTTTGCAGAAAATCATGGTAGACAGTTGCAAAATAAAATTGAAAATTAAAACGAAAACGCTTCGCGTCAACCGGGAGATCGAAAGCAAAATGTTTTTAGATGCATCCCTCTATGCGCCATGTGCCTGACTAAGTCATCTGCAATATGACCTTTGTTGCAAGACGCACGAAAGCAACACAAACTACGTTGCAGACCGCACATGAAAAGATATCGATAAAACTATCCGAGGATGCGACAAGACTCGTGCTAAGAGCGCCGAGCGCAACACGAGCCTTGTTGCAGAGGCTCGGTGATGATGCCCTACGATTTTGATAGTTTCCGTTGAGCTTTCACTGTTTCATTCACATGACGATCCAGCAAACTACCGTTGGAACAATCAATCTAACCTGCACATCTAGCAAATGAAATTAAAGCAGTCCCCTTTCCATGAAATGCGGGATCACACAAGACTTGCTGAGCTTCACCCGCTACTTGTGTACTACTACTGAAGCAAGAATTTCAGCTATCTGTTTTGTAGTACAACTATACAATCGATCCATCTATATACCTGTACACACAAATTAAGCAAAGCATGTGTAGCATTCACATGCATCCGTATGATTCCATGGATCTCTCTGTCTTTGGTTAGTGATCAGCTGAACCGATCTTGCTGCCATTATTGGTGGCGACGGCGTTGTCGCTGGGACTGGTGCTACCATCCTTGGTGGTGGCTTGTTCCGGCGGCTCCTCGCCGGCAGGGACAGGACCCATGGCCAGGTCGGCCTTGAACTTGCCGTAGAGGTCGCCCCTGTAGAAGTTCCTGGTCCTCCACGCGAGCAGCAGCGAGACGAGGGCGCCCAGCAGGGTGACGCCGGCGATGATGTAGAATGACTCCCTGAAGCAGCGCACGCCGATGCAGGTGAGGTCCTTGCCCCGCCGCCCGCCCTGCCGGAGCGCCTCCTCGTCGTAGCGGCGGCCGGCGGTGCGCACGTTGAGGATGTAGGAGCCGACGGGGCTGGCGACGGCGCCGAAGTTGTAGAGCGTGGAGTAGTACTTGAGGCCGAACACCTCGGAGATGATGGCGAAGAGCAGCGGCCACTGCGCCCCGAAGCAGAAGCCGAGGATGACCGACGCCGCGTAGAGCCCGTTGTTGACGCCCACGGCGATGAGGAGGTGCCCCACGCAGGCGAGGAGGAGCACCGCCGTGAGGACGAGCGGGCGGGGCACCTTGTAGCGGGCCAGCACGTACTCGGACGCGAAGCCGGCCACCACGCGCCCCGCGTAGTTCCAGATGCTCACCAGGGACACGAAGGTGGTCACGCTGCGCTGCGGGTAGCCCAGGGACTGCCCGATCTGGCCCAGGTTGTCGATCGCCGTGAGCGTGCCGCCCACGCCGCAGATGGTGGCCACGAACAGCACCAGCATGTCCACGCTGAAGAGCGCCTGCAGGATCGTGTAGTCCTCCCCCCTTGCCGGCGGCCGGAACACGTCCTGGAAGCACGTCGTCGCCGGCGGCATCACGGTGGCTGTCTCGGCCTCGTGGACGACGGCCGTGGTCGTTGTAGTCGGGACGAGAGACTGGGACTGGGACTGGGTGGGCAGTGGCGGCTGCAGGTAGGTCCTGAGCTCCTGCTGGACGACGATGACGATGGGGAAGAAGATGAGGAGGAGGAGCACGGTGGCGGTGACGTAGTAGGCGGTCCTGGGGAACTTGAGCACCTCCAGCTCCACCACGTTCATGACGAGGAGGTAGACGGCGAGCACGATGGAGGCGTAGAGGAAGTAGAAGAAGGCCTTGCGCTCCCGGGTGCTGCTGGCGGCGGCCGGGGTGTCCCGCGGCATGATGCGGATGGTGGGGATGAAGACCAGAGAGATGGCGGCGGGGAGCCAGGCCATGAGCAGCACGAGGTCGGCGCCGTCGTTGTCGGTGCCGTAGATGGCGCGGTAGAGCTGCGTGAAGATGGCGCCGCTGAGTCCGACGAAGCCCTTGAGGAGCCCCAGCACGACGCCGCGGTCCTCGGGGAAGTTCTTGACGGCGGTGACGAGCGCGCCGGTGTTGGCGAAGGACTGGGAGTTGGCGCCGACGGCGATGTAGAGGCACATGAGCCAGACGGGCGGGCGCGCGGTGCGGCCGGTGATGGAGAGGTAGATCATGAGGTAGCCGACGAGGTTCATGGCGGCGCCGCAGGCGAGGACGACCCAGGGCGGGGT